AGTAAGTTATAATAAGTGACTTGTCCACAGGCAGTACAAACAGAACATTACGGTTATCAAGTTTTATATACAATAAAAATGTCCCAAGAAAATGGCATGTTCTCTTTCATCCTATTTGGAGAATTTCTATCTGTTATTAAGGCAATTTTACATCCATTTTTTGTCTTGATTCCTGTAAATATATACAATATATATGTAAATATATACAATCCACTTGCATTAGCTTAAAAAGTAAATTGCATCGGAGTACAATTTTAGAAGTACAGAGGTACAGTATTAGTAGATCTCTTCAGGGAATTACTTCTCCCACCAAACTTAAAAATATATGTATCTAATTCTGAGTTTTATATGCTTTGCAACAAAGACTAATAAACATTTCCAAACCAGAAGGACACTGATCTCACCCTTGGAAAGCCTGCTTTTAAGATGTGCCCAGCAAAACTCCATGCTCGTGTCTTCCCAAACACCTTGACCGCAAGGAATCACCCACAGAACCAGGGCTGCAAAGTCTCCTGAGGGCCACCACTTTCCAGCCAACCTGGGTGAGTGGTAGCGAGCAGCAGTGAAAACAGAAGATGGATGTTCAGAGCTGGGAGGACTCTCCGTTTCCCGGTTTCTACCCAAACCCTTTCTGCAAGCACTGTTTACACATAGCTGCTTGTGGTATTAAACTTCAGCTGGAGCAATGGATGTACACTTGTGTTCAATTCCCAAATCATACAGCAACAGGCAAAGGACTACTCAGGAATTTGAAGCGAGGCATAATAATGCTGAGTCAGGAGCTTCTTGGATTAAATCAAGATTTAGCTTGACCACAGCACTGTTTCACCAGCAGTAGCAGCAATACCCTACACATGTTCCCTTCTTACTGCTCCTTCCTGAAGAGCAAAAGACTCCAAGTTCAGCATGACCTTACCAGTGAAGAAGGTATCGCTACTTAAAACGCTTACAGTGACTTGAATCTCAGGAAGTCCACACTGCAAACCCACCAAAACCAACCTCCAATTTATTCATGGCAAAACACCACGGTTTGGCAAGACTAAATGATGTGCCTGGGACACTATACTCTTCAGAGTTGGGAATGCTATGCTGGAGTCACAGCTGGTAACGTTTACTCCCAAAACTCTTGTAAGAATGTACTGAAAATCTGAACAATTGCGCTTCACTGAGTTAGTAGCCATGACTTCTAGACTGAGCTTTACTATTTGTTCACCTTCTTCTCCTCTGTCCTCTCTGTGAATCAGATTCCCATCAGGGAAAATGGGCCCAGAAATTTGATGCAACTTGCGCAAAATGGCCCAGCCAGTACCCAGCTCCCTGCAGGGCAAAACACAGTTTTCAATGCAAGTCACGTATTTTGGAATTAATATTCATGTACTGGCTACTAATAAAATCCAAAGTATCCATAATTTGTGATAGCTGCTACTGAAGAAACCAGGTGTTTCAATTGCTGTTTCTTTTAAAATGTTATCAAACCATATGAAGCTTGATGAAATACAAGGACTTGCACAAGCTGAAGCAAAAAAATATTAAAACTATGTTCCTACGTTCTCTTTCTTAGCATATTACAGTATCTTTCATGTTTTACTCTTGGTGTCAGCTGGAGTATTTGTTTCAGTAGAGTATTGCACAGAGCTGGCTACTTTGAACTTCCGCCTTTAGTTACAACTAGAAATATTTGGTTTGTGAAAATACTACAAAGCATCAATACTTTATAAATTGATTTCTGATGTCATCAACCCAACTATAACTATTTCCAGGGTTCAGTGACAACACGAACAATCAGTTTCATGAGTCTACAAAGCAAAACCCCTCACAAACACAAAATCATCCCTATAAAGGTGTTTTACCCTTCTATTCTGTCAGGTGTTTTTTTCATGAAAACTAAAGCATGGTGTGATCAGGGTAGATGGCAAGCAAAGTTTGTGCCATTCATTTCAAGATTTCATACGAAAGTAAAAGATGACTTTAAAATTCATGTGTGGTTGTTAGCAGTGTCTGGCACATGGGTATGGAATTTTAAATGGCCATTAAAAACCGTAAAGCTAATTAATCTGTTACAATGCAGAAACAGTTTACTCTGGATTTTCTAATGCCACTGAGATGGGATTCCTCTCTGAAAGACTATATTAGAAGAATAAATTTTAATCACACTTCAAACAATGGCTGTAGCTAACTTCATCATAAAGATGCTTTTAGCATCCACATTGCCCAGACAAGCATGGATTTTTATCCTGCTCGAAAGGTAGCTTTTAATCCAGGAAGATATCCAAGTCAAAAGCCAACACTTGTAACCATCTACACAAACATGACTCCAGACTCTGTCACAATCTGTTTCACAGTGATGGTTAAACGTTTCTCGGCCAGACAAAGGCCTTAATGGACCAGAATTTTAAACTTTGCTTGTCAAGTCGTTACACCGTGAAATGACACTCAGGTTCTGCCTCCATCCGACCGGCTTTGTTGTGGAAGTAACTGACACACTCAGAGTCAGACTCTAGACCAAAGGATGTTTTCAGTCACGTATTAACACCTTTGGCCTAACTGTAAACCATGTCTCTCCCTCTACAAATCACTTCCAGGAAAGCTTGTCTTCAGAAGATGGGGCATTCTGCAGCTCTGACAGCTGGAGCACATGCTTGGCACCTCAGTCGGATATGACAAACAGAAGTCTAAATCTTCAAGGAATCTAACAGTACCAGCATGCTTACTGCCCTCATCATTCACAGCTTGATTTACAGACCATTGCAGCCACTGACAGAGCAGAGAATGAACCATGTGAGCTCCCAGATGATGCTCAACATTGTGATGAAATTTTTATAGCCCAATTGCCTTTTATTGGAAAACTGATTTGAAATGTCATTTTTCATGCAATTGTTTCTTAATGTGCAGTAATTTGGTTTAAGTAACTAATTTGCTTTAAGTTGCCTAAAGTTCTCCTAACATGGTAGGTAAGTAAGACCCAACTGCAATTCATGGCAGGCCAATTACCTCCTCAGGTATCCATTCACACAAACGCCTAATAACAATTCTCCTTTGTAATTTAGAAGATGTCTGAGATTACGATAAAACCTTCTGTCCTTTCCTCTGGGCACTAGCCAATTCTACCCAGTGTTTGGACAGATTCATGAACTTCTGAGTAGACCCTGCATTTCAGTTTAAAGTCACAGAGGAAGGCTTCATCACTTGCAGACATCAAGGAGGGAGCAATGTTAATGAGAAGCCACCTTTCTGCTTTCACCTCCTTCTCACTTTTGACGTGCTGACACACCAGCCCACTGGGAAGGTGACATGGGGGGAGAGATATGCCAAACTCGTAGAAGGCTAGAATTTCCTTCCTCAGAGTGACCTCTACAAACCAAAATAGCAATAAGCCATTTGCCAATCTGCCAGCTATGACCTCTGAAAAATGACAGTGCCCAAGCGTCCAAGTCACTCCCATGCAAACACCTGTAATGCTGGCAAAACACATGGGTGTGACAACAACCTGCAGTGTGTTTAGTACACGCAGCTTACTACAGATCTCCTCCCTTCCCTGTCTGCAGTCTTCTTCTGCTCTGCAGTTCCTCCAGGAGCTCAGAATATTCTCTTCTTCACATCCTTTTCTGTGCACATAATGCTTTATATCTCCTCCCCTCTCTCACATGCAGTTTTACTCCTGCACTCTCATTCTATCCCAACTGCTTTTCCCCTTCTCTTTGCCTCACAAATCTGACTTCTTTAATTTTCTGATCTTTTGAAGACCTCTTATACTATTCTTCCCACTAAGACCAATGATAACCTCCTCTCTCCCTGACAAAATCTTTCCTTTTTCCTACCTACACATACCTGGGATTGTTCACCCTTATATCATGCAGAGTTGCTGAAGGCTGCTTAGGAGAGAAGAATAAGGACCACTCTTCCTCTTTTCCAGAACGGACAGTTTCTTGATACCTCATGCTCTCCCTGGAGAGCAGCTTCTCAAGAGGCATTTGGCTGGCAGGGTCACAAAGCAGGCTGACAATAGCCTTCCTCGGCTGCACAGGAAATGCTTTGATGGTAACTGACTCTCTTCCCCAGGCAGAGTATCAAAGTGAGAATCAAGGCTTCCCCTGGAATTTGGATTTGGTTGTCTGAGCTAGAACAATAGCAGTGATGCTAGACAGGCTTGATAATGGCTTCTATTTTAACTTTTGCCTTTATTTTTTAGAGATGCCTGTCACTTGGCATTACTACCGTGCTTGCTGACTGGCGATGTCGGTTTTTTTGGGCTCCTGTATTCCTCTGTATGTGCCGCTGTATTCCTCTATGGATTCCTCTAATGACTTCACTGCAAGCTCTGTGGGGCAGGATGATTCCTGCACTATTTGCACAGCCCAGTACGGTGGTGGCCAAGGCCTCTTCAGTGCTCTATTAACACACAGCACCAAAACCTCGGGTCTGGTCGCAGAAGAAGGAGGACAGCGTTGGCAGGAAATGAGACCTCTCCTTGCACCCCGAGGCTTGCCTACTGCCTTGCATCAGACAGAGCAAAAAAGCAAAACGGGCAGGATGTGTGCAAGGACGGACTTGAAACAGTGCCCAAGTGAATGGAAAGTATCCAGATGGCTGTGCTAGCTCACACGATGGGAGTCAAATCAAAACAAAATGAAAACAAAACCATATGCCATGTACCCCTCACACTCTTGCTCTCTTTCTCTCCCTGCCTTTCTCCTGGCTGTTGCCCCAGGTCTTTCTATCAGTATGGATAATAGTATGTTACCCAGTGATGTGGATGTCATGAATAACAATAACCCCTCTTTTACATAAGAGATCATGGATTACTATTATTCATGTAACAAAGATTGTAACAGGAACCACAAAATTATACTCATGTAAGGGTCAAGAAGTGTAAGGGTCTACAAGGGTAGTTATATTTCTTCATTAAATCCTTCTTTTTATCTGGTATGCTGTATACTTATAAAAGAGATTATTAACTTTACACGTCTATGTTGCTATATGCTATAGAAATATCTACTCACAACCTGCTTGTATCTCAGGGGGAGTATTCAAAAGCATCATGGCAGTGGCAGCATCAATGTCAGGATCTGGAAAAATCAACCAATAAATAAATTATTTACAACTGGGCTAATCTTCTTGCCCCCGTTGCTAAACTACAGGTTCAACCAAATCTCTGCAGTGAAAAGGTTTAAGAGTTCATTATTCAGAGGGCTCGTTGATCACATATTGAATTTACCCCCAAACTCGCATGTGATCCCATTGCTACTATTGAGAAGAGCGCAGTGATGAATGTCACCAAACCGTACTCGTGTGTGCATGATTCCTTCACTGCTAGCCTCATGAATTTGCTGTTCAGTTCTATGGAGAGCATTTAGATTTCACTACAGAGGATCTGCATAAGCAGGTGCAACTTTGAAAGCAACACACAAGGACGAGCTGCCAGCAGAGCTGAAAAGCGTAAGGAACACCTACACCTGAGCAAGTACAGAAGATGGCACTCAGTCATTTTGATTTGTGGGTAAGGATTTTAGCGATGTTTGAGCAAGTGTTGGAACCTAAACTGCTACAATTAAGGAAAAAAAACAACAATAAACCCAGAAACCAGCATTTCATTGAAGTGCCAACTTATTTGCATCCTAACTCATTGTCACTTTCATATAAGAAAAATCATTGGCTGGCTGCTGTTGTTCTTAAATTGGTTTCTGAATCCATCACAGTCAGTTGACAGATGGTAAGTTATAGAGACAGAACAAAATATGATCCTTTTATAACTATATTCACTTGCTTCACACACAGCGGCCCGGCTGCTATGGAAATGTCGGTAGCTATGACAGCGGTAAACAACCCACAACGGCCACTGAATAAGCTGAAAAGAACATCTGCCCCAGCAAAGCGTCCCAGCTGCCCCGGGGCGCTACTTGCTAATCGTGCAGTGATGCCCTGTGACAGAGAAAGCCGCCTATGCCATGTCCAAATAAATGAAGTGTGCAATTGAAGCAGACATAAAAACGCACACCCTGGCTGACTGCTGCCTCTGTGCTGCTAAACTGAATGACTAATGAGTATGCATTTGGTTGTTTGGGTTTGGGTTTTTTTCAGCTTGTCAGTATTTATACTAAATTACATACAAAAAATTAGATTTACTACTAATAGCTTCATGGCACTTTGTTTTGGCTATTACGTCAGAAAACTACTTTTCACTGTTAAGAATATATGTATTTTGTAACTTTATATATTTCAAGTCTATTTCCAGTAATGTGATGTGGTATAAAGCCCTGCAATTTATTAACAACACAACTGATGTAGAGAGGATTTCAGTATCTGCTTAAACAAAATAGAAATTCTCTTGACCAGTTAAGAAAAAAAAAAAGGCATTTTTTTGTTAGTTTAAATATGTAATACTTTTATGTGAATAGCTGGAAACACACTTCTAATGGCTACTCTATTTAATTTAATTACTGAAACAGTAAAAAGAGCAACAGTGTAGCAGGTGTAAAAGCAAAGTTGAAGAAGCAGCAGACTAAGCTAGTGTAAAAGGTGCCGGTGAACTCCAAAGCAGGTGCCTGACTGTATCCTGGAGAGGTCAGCACATCCTTCTCCAGAAGGCACCAGGAGAATGCTGAGGAAAGCATCTTTACCAACACAGCTCCACCTTCAAGCCTGAAGACACCTCAGAAGCATTAATCCTGCTGCCAGCATCTATGCTCAAAGTGCCATTTCCAAACAGCTTGGCTCCCGCACACGTGCCACGTCAGGGCCTGGGTCCACACACCACACAGCAAGAGCTTCCCTTCAGTCAAACTGAAGAGGCATAATCTAACATTAAAAAGCAAGACAAAAAGCAAGGAAGCCTGAGAAATAATGTTAATTTTGCTGTTGAAAGAATACAAGACACAATCAGAAAAAAACTTCCTCCTGGCTTCAGGTTTTGTTTGTGTAACAAACTGAGTGCTTTGGCATGAAACTGATGCAACCAGCTTATTTTGAAAGGCACATTCTTAGCCTTCCGACCACTAATGGTACCACCGTGTTTCTGCAGTGACTTCACAACATTAACACAAGGTGTTTACAGCACACGACTGCATTCACAGCAGCTGTTTTCCAAAGCACAGCCACGATTCAAGCCCATCCACATCTGCTTTGGCATCTCTTTCTGTTTCTATTGGTACACTCTTGAAGAGATGAGACAGTGATTCCGTAAGGCCTTGGCAGAGGTAAGAAGGCTTGGACACACGCACCTCGGGTGGTGTCAGTATGATCAGGACAATATGCTTTGGACTGTCCTTCCACAGAGAGAAAAAAAACACAGAGGGACTGGCTGCACAAGGGCTAAGGGTCAGCAACCAGAGACCACACATAAACGTGCAGAAGCAGCGTCCAAGGACAAATCGAAAGGCCAGTTCATTCTCTCGTAGTGTTTACTCTCGGCATTTGGAGGTGTTCTCCTGAGAAGGATGTCAAGAAGAAGAGCCAAAAAGTAGTCATGAAGAGCAGCAGGGATGGCAGGTGAGCGAAGGATGCCTTTTCTTGGACTGGCACTACCGGCTTGGACTTCCAGTACCCACCAGTGCCCCCAGACTGTCACCCTTGTCCCCACCACTGGCGTCTCCATGAAGTCCCTTCCATGCCGATCCTCTCTCTTCGGGCAGTTTGGGCTGGTCTCACACGGCAGGCCAACCAGCCTGGTAACCGCATCCTCTCCCTTCTACCTGCCTGTCTGTGGCTGTGAAGCTGCGGATTTCATAACGGAGATCTCTGCCCTACCTGAAGTCTGCCATCAACACAAAGGCTCCTGGAGTTATTAACAGTGGGTGATGAGTGAAGAATGATTGCAGGAACATTTTTCCCTAGGGAACCA